GTAATGCACAGAATGCAGGGGGAGGAGTGTAATGCACAGAATGCAGGGGTGAGGAGTGTAATGTACAGAATGCAGGGGTGAGGAGTGTAATGTACAGAATGCAGGGGTGAGGAGTGTAATGTACAGAATGCAGGGGTGAGGAGTGTAATGTACAGAATGCAGGGGTGAGGAGTGTAATGTACAGAATGCAGGGGTGAGGAGTGTAATGCACAGAATGCAGGGGTGAGGAGTGTAATGCACAGAATGCAGGGGTGAGGAGTGTAATGTACAGAATGCAGGGGTGAGGAGTGTAATGTACAGAATGCACAGGGGTGAGGAGTGTAATGCACAGAATGCAGGGGTGAGGAGTGTAATGTACACAGAATGCAGGGGTGAGGAGTGTAATGTACAGAATGCAGGGGTGAGGAGTGTAATGTACAGAATGCAGGGGTGAGGAGTGTAATGCACAGAATGCAGGGGTGAGGAGTGAGTGTAATGCACAGAATGCAGGGGTGAGGAGTGTAATGTACAGAATGCAGGGGTGAGGAGTGTAATGCACAGAATGCAGGGTGAGGAGTGTAATGTACAGAATGCAGGGGAGGAGTGTAATGTACAGAATGCAGGGGTGAGGAGTGTAATGTACAGAATGCAGGGGTGAGGAGTGTAATGCACAGAATGCAGGGGTGAGGAGTGTAATGTACAGAATGCAGGGGTGAGGAGTGTAATGCACAGAATGCAGGGGTGAGGAGTGTAATGCACAGAATGCAGGGGTGAGGAGTGTAATGCACAGAATGCAGGGGGGAGTGTAATGTACAGAATGCAGGGGTGAGGAGTGTAATGCACAGAATGCAGGGGTGAGGAGTGTAATGTACAGAATGCAGGGGCGAGGAGTGTAATGCACAGAATGGGGGTGAGGAGTGTAATGTACAGAATGCAGGGGTGAGGAGTGTAATGTACAGAATGCAGGGGTGAGGAGTGTAATGTACAGAATGCAGGGGTGAGGAGTGTATGTACAGAATGCAGGGGTGAGGAGTGTAATGTACAGAATGCAGGGGTGAGGAGTGTGCACAGAATGCAGGGGTGAGGAGTGTAATGCACAGAATGCAGGGGTGAGGAGTGTAATGCACAGAATGCAGGGGTGAGGAGTGTAATGTACAGAATGCAGGGGTGAGCAGGGAGTGTAATGTACAGAATGCAGGGGTGAGGAGTGAGGAGAGTGTAATGTACAGAATGCAGGGTGAGGGGAGTGTAATGCACAGAATGCAGGGGTGAGGAGTGTAATGTACAGAATGCAGGGGTGAGGAGTGTAATGTACAGAATGCAGGGTGAGGAGTGTAAGAATGCACAGAATGCACAGAATGCAGGGGTGAGGGCAGGTACAGATGAGGGGTGAGGAGTGTAATGTACAGAATGCAGGGGTGAGGAGTGTAATGCACAGAATGCAGGGGTGAGGAGTGTGTAATGCACAGAATGCAGGGGTGAGGAGTGTAATGTACAGAATGGGTGAGGAGTGTAATGTACAGAATGCAGGGGTGAGGAGTGTAATGCACAGAATGCAGGGGTGAGGAGTGTAATGCACAGAATGCAGGGGTGAGGAGTGAATGCAGGGGTGTAATGTACAGAATGAGTGTAATGCACAGAATGCAGGGGTGAGGGAGTGTAATGCACAGAATGCAGGGGTGAGGAGTGTAATGCACAGAATGCAGGGGTGAGGAGTGTAATGTACAGAATGCAGGGGTGAGGAGTGTAATGTACATGAATGCAGGGGTGAGGAGTGTAATGTACAGAATGCAGGGGTGAGGAGTGTAATGTACAGAATGCAGGGGTGAGGAGTGTAATGTACAGAATGCAGGGGTGAGGAGTGTAATGCACAGAATGCAGGGGTGAGGAGTGTAACACAGAATGCAGGGGTGAGGAGTGTAATGTACAGAAGAGTGTAATGCACAGAATGTACAGAGGAGTGTAATGCAGAGGAGTGGGTGAGGAGTGTAATGTACAGAATGCAGGGGTGAGGAGTGTAATGCACAGAATGCAGGGGTGAGGAGTGTAATGTACAGAATGCAGGGGTGAGGAGTGTGTAATGCACAGAATGCAGGGTGAGGCAGGGTGAGGAGTGTAATGTACAGAATGCAGGGGTGAGGAGTGAGAGTGTAATGTACAGAATGCAGGGGTGAGGAGGGTGAGGAGTGTAATGTACAGAATGCAGGGGTGAGGAGTGTAATGCACAGAATGCAGGGGTGAGGAGTGTAATGTATGCAGAATGCAGGAGTGTAATGCACAGATGTAAGTGTACGCACAGAATGCAGGGGTGAGGAGTGTAATGCACAGAATGCAGGGGTGAGGAGTGTAATGCACAGAATGCAGGGGTGAGGAGTGTTATGCACAGAATGCAGGGGTCAGAGTGTGTACAGAATGCAGGGGTCAGGAGTGTTGTGCACAGAATGTTTATCTCTGGACACTAGAGGTCTCTTGGAGTCTCCGCTAAAGCATTCGAGATTATTCATCACAAGAACGTACAGTATCTCCAAGAAGTGACTCCACCCCTAAGTGACAAGGTTCAAATTGGGCCCAAAGTGTTAATATTTTGTGTGCCGCCATTATTTTCCAACACTGCCTTCACCCTCTTGGGCATGGAGTTCACCAGAGCTTCACAGGTTGCCACTGGAGTCCTCTTCCACTCCTCTATGACATCATCACGGAGCTGGTGGATGTTAGAGACCTTGCGCTCCTCCACCTTCCCTTTTCCACTCCTCCATGACGTCATCACGGAGCTGGTGGATGTTAGAGACCTTGCGCTCCTCCACCTTCCCTTTTCCACTCCTCCATGACATCATCACAGAGCTGGTGGATGTTAGAGACCTTGCGCTCCTCCACCTTCTGTCTTCCACTCCTCCATGACGTCATCACGGAGCTGGTGGATGTTAGAGACCTTGCGCTCCTCCACCTTCCCTCTTCCACTCCTCCATGACGACATCACGGAGCTGGTGGATGTTAGAGACCTTGCGCTCCTCCACCTTCCGTTTGAGGATGCTGCACAGATGCTCAATAGGGTTTAGGTCTGGAGACATGCTTGGCCAGTCCATCACCTTTACCTTCAGCTTCTTCAGCAAGGCAGTGGTGGTCTTAGAGGTGTGTTTGGGGTGGTTATCATGATGTGGTGAAGACGACTCGCTGAACCTCAAACTGAGGAAGAAAGGTGATTTGAGTGACTTTGAACGTGACAAGGTGGTCGGTGTCAGATGGGCCGGTCTGAGGATTTAAAAAACTGCTGATCTCCTGGGATTTTCACGCTCAACCATCTCTAAAATCCAGACTCATCAGACCAGGCATTGATTTTCCAATTTTCTGTCCAATGTTGATGAACCTGTTTGAATTGTATCCTCCGTTTCTTGTTCTTAGCTGACAGGAGTGGCACCCGATGTGGTCTCAGCTGACAGGAGTGGCATGGTTGTTGGTGCCAGACGGGCTGGTCTGAGGATTTCACAAACTGCTGATCTGCTGGGATTTTCCCGCACAACCATCTCTAGGGTTACAGAGAATGGTCAGAAAAAAAGAAAATATCCAGTGAGTGGCAGTTGTGTGGAGGAAAATGCCATGTTGAGGTCAGAGGTGAATGGGCAGACTGGTTCCAGATGATAGAAGGCAACAGGAACTCCAATATCCCCTCGTTACACCCAAGGTATGCAGAATACCATCTCTGAGCGCACAATATGTCCAGCCTTGAAGCAGATGGGCTACAGCAGCAGAAGACCACACCGGGTGCCACTTCTGTCAACTAACCACACCGGATGCCACTCCTCCTGTCAGCTAAGACCACATCGGTGCCACTCCTGTCAGCTAAGACCACATCGGGCGCCACTCCTGTCAGTTAAGACCACACCGGGTGCCACTCCTGTCAACGAAGACCACACCGGGTGCCATTCCTGTCAGCTAAGACCACACCGGGTGCCATTCCTGTCAGCTAAGACCACACCGGGTGCCATTCCTGTCAGCTAAGACCACACCAGGTGCCACTCCTGTCAGCTAAGACCACATCAGGTGCCACTCCTGTCAGCTAAGACCACATCAGGTGCCACTCCTGTCAGCTAAGACCACATCAGGTGCCACTCCTGTCAGCTAAGACCACATCAGGTGCCACTCCTGTCAGCTAAGACCACATCAGGTGCCACTCCTGTCAGCTAAGACCACATCGGGTACCACTCCTGTCAGCTAAGAAGAGGAAACGGAGGCTACAATTCGCACAGGATCACCAAAATTGGACAAGATCGGAGAAACGTGGCCTGGTCTGATGAGTCTGGATCTCCCTAGAAATGGTTGTGCGGGAAAATCCCAGGAGGAGATCAGCAGTTTTTGAAATCCTCAGACCGGCCCGTCTGACGACCGACCACCACACCACGTTCAAAGTCACTCAAATCCCCTTTCTTCCTCGGTTTGAACTTCAGCAAGTCGTCTTCACCACGTCTAGATGCCTAAATGCACTGAGTTGCTGCCGTGCGATTGGCTGGTTAGTAATTCGTGTTCCCGAGCCGTTGAAAGGCGGACCCCATAAAGTGGCCGGCATTTCGGAGTACATTTATGATGTCACAATTGATACATTGTACGTTTCCACAGTTGTTGTCCGATGCTTTCTGCCGGCTCTATAGATTGTATATCACGGAGATCAGACATCTCTTTTCTCCTCTAGAAAGTTCTGTGAAGCCTCTACCCTTCCGAGGAAGCCGTAATAACAACCGTGAAACATGTTGAGGAAATGACGTTCGGCAGGACCTCCTTCCAGCTGGCTTGTTGTGGGGTCTCTGAATAACAATTGTTATAATGGGGGGGTGATAAAAAAAAAGAGGCAGAATGCAGGGACTCTCTACTGTAACCATTTTATTTTTGTTTTTGTGAATCATTTTGATTTTTTTTTATATATACACGACATTGCCCCAAGTATTGGGCCGCCGGCCTTTCCACGCAAAAACATTTCCCGCACTCAATAGGAAGACGGATTCTCCCCCGTGTGCACTCTCCGATGTATGTTAACACAGGACTTCTGTGAAAAAACATTTCCCGCACTCAGGACAGGAATACGGCTTCTCCCCTGTGTGCACTCTCTGATGAGTGTAAAGATTGCACTTCTGTGAAAAACATTTCCCGCACTCGGGACAGGAATACGGCTTCTCCCCCCTGTGCAATCTCTGATGGCTGTAAAGATTGGACTTCTGTGAAAAACATTTCCCGCACTCGGGACAGGAATACGGCTTCTCTCCTGTGTGAGATCTCTGGTGTGTGACAAGCTCTGATTTTTTTACACAACGTTTCCCGCACTCAGAACAGGAACACGGCTGGTCCCCCGTGTGAGACTCTGATGTCTGTTAAGACAAGACTTGTCTGAAAAAACATTTCCCGCACTCAGGACAGGAAAACGGCTTTTCCCCCGTGTGTGATCTCTGATGTCTGCAAAGATGTGACTGAGCTGAAAAACATTTCCCGCACTCGGGGCAGAAATACGGCTTCTCACCCGTGTGTGAGTTCTTTCATGTACTTTAAGGTTGGATTTAAAAAGGAAACGTTTCCCGCACTCAGCACAGGAATACGGCTTCTCCCCCGTGTGAGTTCTTTTATGTGCTATGAGTCCGGAGTTAAATAGGAACCATCTCCCGCACTCGGTGCAGGAGAACCTCTTCTCTGGTGGAAGGACGGCCCCGTCCCTCACAGTCTGAGGTTCTTCAGGATAGGAGGAACATGATGGTCCATCCACACTGTTGGGCACTGGATGGACATCTGTTGGAAGGACAACACCGTCCCTCACAGTCTGAGGTTCTTCAGGATAGGAGGAACATGATGGTCCATCTACACTGTTGGGCACTGGATGGACATCTGTTGGGAGGAACAACACCGTCCCTCACAGTCTGAGGTTCTTCAGGATAGGAGGAACATGATGGTCCATCCACACTGTTGGGCACTGGATGGACATCTGTTGGAAGGACAACACTGTCCCTCACAGTCTGAGGTTCTTCAGGATAGGAGGAACATGACATCTACACTGTTGGGCACTGGATGGACATCTGTTGGGAGGACAACACCGTCCCTCACAGTCTGAGGTTCTTCAGGACAGGAGGAACATGATGGTCCATCTACACTGTTGGGCACTGGATGGACATCTGTTGGGAGGACAACACTGTCCCTCACAGTCTGAGGTTCCTCTGGATAGTAGGAACATGATGGTCCATCTACACTGGGTGGTGCCGGATGGACATTGGAGGGAGCCGGGTTTTCTCCTGGACTATACTGTGTGATGTCCTCATCTTCTACTTTGCAGTCTGGAGACAAAGTGAGACAATCCTCAGAGGTTTTCCTCATCTCCCGGCCATGGACTAAAATACAAAGAGGATTACTAGACAGGAGCTGATTGGTTCCCCCAAACCAGGACTCTGCCCACATCAGGCAGCTTGGTCTCTGAGGAGCTTACAATTCCACCCTCAAGGGAACTAGGAAATGGCTCCTCTGATCTCCTACCAGGTCATGGACCTTAGTCAGAGAGTGAGGAAACAACCAGAACTGTCTTTTATGAAAGGATGGATTTAGTGTTCATGACCCACCTGTGCTGATCTCTGTAGGAGTGTCCTCCTCTATAAATGTCCCCGTTATTCCATCCTCCTCCATAGACTGCTGATCATCCCTCACATACGCCTCTTCTTCTTCTGCTTTCACCTCAAATTCTATATCAATTGGATCTCCACTCTACATGAAGAGAAGGATCAACAATAACATCTGTAAAATATACGCTCACATACAAAATCCATGCTCTAGATGATCCGATCCACCTACCTGATGGTGAGGGATGGTGTGACCTTCCTGTGTGGAATCCCGAGAATACAGAGGATGGGGACATCTCTCTGGTGGGTTCCCATGACTGGATCCATCTGTAGGAAACACACACACTGACTGAATCCATTGTTTCTATGTGTTTATCAGATGATGGGGGATCTAGGTGGATCCTCCGTACTGCTCTCTCCTTTTACAATAAAGTCTCCTCTTACCCGGTGATGTGAGGGGCGGCTGATTGTCCATCATGACGTCCTTGTAGAGATCCTTGTGTCCTTCTAAATACTCCCACTCCTCCATGGAGAAATAGACAGTGACACCCTGACACCTTATAGGAACCTGACACACACAATGATACAGTCACCATCCAGACACATCCCTTGTCTGTTACTGGAGAATGTCCCAGAATTCCCGGCACCGCTCACCTCTCCTGTCAGCTGATGGACCATCATGGAGGTCAGTTCCAGGATCTTCTGCTCTTTGTTCCTCTCAGGTATCGGAGAACGAGGGGGAGGCACCATGGTGGGGCTCTGGGTCCTGCTCCATCCTCCTGAGATTGGCTCCCCACTAGACTTCTTCACTACAACATAATCCTACAGATCAGGAGAGAAAGAGAAACCGATATCAATCATCTGACATCATCTACATGTCTACAAGAAGAACATGGTCTATTGGCCAGACTAGACCAGAGTGATGTCATGTGACCTCCCAGAATCCTCCTCACCTCTCCGGTCAGGTCTGTGATGTCATGTGACCTCCCAGAATCCTCCTCACCTCTCCGGTCAGGTCTGTGTGATGTCATGTGACCTCCCAGAATCCTCCTCATCTCCGGTCAGGTCTGTGTGATGTCATGTGACCTCCCAGAATCCTCCTCACCTCTCGGTCAGGGTGTGTGATGTCATGTGACCTCCCAGAATCCCCCTCACCTCTCCGGTCAGGTCTGTGTGATGTCATGTGACCTCCCAGAATCCCCTCACCCTCAGGTCTGTGTGATGTCGACCTCCCAGAATCCTCTCATCTCTCTCCGGTCTGTGTGATGTCATGTGACCTCCCAGAATCCTCCTCACCTCTCCGGACAGGTCTGTGTGATGTCATGTGACCTCCCAGAATCCTCCTCACCTCTCCGGTCAGGTCTGTGTGATGTCATGTGACCTCCCAGAATCCTCCTCACCTCTCCGGTCAGGTCTGTGTGATGTCATGTGTGACCTCCCAGAACCCTCCTCACCTCTTCGGTCACGTCTGTGTGATGTCATGTGACCTCCCAGAATCCCCCTCACCTCTCCGGTCAGGTCTGTGTTTTATTAATAGAGATAAGAGTGACATAATTTGACCTCCCAGAATCCTCTTCACCTCTCCGGTCAGGTCTGTGATGTCATGTGACCTCCCAGAATCCCCTCACCTCTTCGGTCAGGTCTGTGTGATGTCATGTGACCTCCCAGAATCCCCTCACCTCTCCGGTCAGGTCTGTGTGATGTCATGTGACCTCCCAGAATCCCCCTCTCCTCTCCGGTCAGGTCTGTGTGATGTCATGTGACCTCCCAGAATCCCCCTCACCTCTCCGGTCAGGTCTGTGTGATGTCATGTGACCTCCCAGAATCCCTCACCTCTCCGGTAAGGTCTGTGTGTTTTATTAATAGAGATCAGAGTGATGTCATGTGACCTCCCAGAATCCTCTTCACCTCTCCGGTCAGGTCTGTGTGATGTCATGTGACCTCCCAGAATCCTCCTCACCTCTCTCGGTAAGGTCTGTGTAATGTCAGAGTGATGTCATGTGACCTCCCAGAATCCCCTCACTCTCTCCGGTCAGGTCTGTGTGATGTCATGTGACCTCCCAGAATCCCCTCACCTCTCCGGTCAGGTCTGTGTAGAGATGAGTGATGTCATGTGACCTCCCAGAATCCCCCTCACCTCTCCGGTCAGGTCTGTTTGATGTCATGTGACCTCCCAGAATCCTCCTCACCTCTCCGGTCAGGTCTGTGTTTTATTAATAGAGTGTGATGTCATGTGACCTCCCAGAATCCCCCCTCACCTCTCCGGTCAGGTCTGTGTGATGTCATGTGACCTCCCAGAATCCTCCTCACCTCTCCGGTCAGCAGGTAGATGATCTCCAGGGTGAAGTTTAGTATCCTCTCAGTCATGTGACACCGGCCCTCCTCCATCCTCATTGGTCATGTGATCTATGCCGGTCTCTCTGCAGAGGGATAGCGGAGAATTAAGCCGATCCTGGCCAATGATTTATGGGCGGGACCTGTTGCCTGACTTGTGCTCTCAGATTGGGTGCACGGCCCGCCCCGCCCCACCCCCCCAACTCAGAAATGCCGGATCATGTACATGGTGCAGCGGGGGGGGGGGGGGGGGGCGCCCTATTGCAGTAGAAGTGCGGTGGGTGGTCCGCAGCTGCTTAAGAGAAGCCAATCAGAAGTGTTTCAATACCTTGAGCAGCATAAGCCTCAACTGACACTTTTACAGGCGGGGCTCATTACGAACAAGGGGGGGGGGGGGAATGGGGCGGGATCTTGGCTCTACGCAAGCCCAGGATCCAGCGGGTATTACACGCGCCGTGTTCTTCCTGTACTGGAGGAGCGGCCATATCGTCCAGAAGTCGGAAACTGACAACCTGTCCTGACCCCCCGATTATAATTGGGTGACCGCTCGTGTTTTAGGTTCGGTTAGTCCCCTTTTATCCCTGCAGTACCGGGCACCCCCCCCCCCCCCCTTGCAGCACCGGGCACCCCCCCCCCCCCCCCAAACCCCACTCCCTCCTATCATGGACAGGTTTCAGGTTTCAGAGCGTTTCGCACTTTGAATGGTAATTGCGCAGTCATGCAACGCTGCTCCCAAATGACATTTGTATCATTTTTTTTGCTTTTTATACAGATAGAGCTTTCTTTTGGTGGCATTTAATTAAACACCGGGGGGAAGGGGGGTATCTTTTGCTAAACAAAACGGAAAAAAAAAAAAACCTAAAACTTTTTGTTTCTGTTATAAAAATATATAAAAATTTAATTTGCATATAAGAAAATTTTCTTCTTCACAGATGGGCACTGGGGAGGCTGCACTGATGGGCACTGATGAGTCTGCAGTGATGAGCACTGGTGAGGCTGCACTGATTGGTTCTGATGAATTTGCACTGACAGGTACTGGGGAGGCTGCACTGATGGGCAATGGTGAGGCTGCACTGATGGGCAATGGTGAGGCTGCACTGATGAGGCAATGGTGAGGCTGCATGCACCTGATGGGCAATGGTGAGGCTGCACTGATGAGTCTGCACTGATGGGCACTGCTGAGGCTGTACTGACAGGCAATGGTGAGGCTGCACTGATGGGCAATGGTGAGGCTGCACTGATGGGCAATGGTGAGGCTGCATTGATGGGCAATGGTGAGGCTGCACTGATGAGTCTGCACTGATGGGCACTGCTGAGTCTGCACTGACAGGCAATGGTGAGGCTGCACTGATGGGCACTGGTGAGGCTGCACTGATGGGCAATGGTGAGGCTGCACTGATGGGCAATGGTGAGGCTGCAGTGATGAGTCTGCACTGATGGGCACTGCTGAGTCTGTACTGACGGGCAATGGTGAGGCTGCAGTGATGGGCAATGGTGAGGCTGGAGTGATGGGCAATGGTGAGGCTGCACTGATGGGCACTGCTGAGTCTGTACTGACGGGCAATGGTGAGGCTGCAGTGATGGGCAATGGTGAGGCTGCAGTGATGGGCAATGGTGAGGCTGCACTGATGGGCACTGGTGAGTTTGTACTGACGGGCAATGGTGAGGCTGCACTGATGGGCAATGGTGAGGCTGCAGTGATGAGTCTGCACTGATGGGCAATGGTGAGGCTGCAGTGATGGGCACTGCTGAGTCTGTACTGACGGGCAATGGTGAGGCTGCAGTGATGAGCATTGGTGAGGCTGCACTGATTGGTTCTGATGAATTCGCAATGACAGGTACTGGTGAGGCTGTACTGATGGGCACTGGTGAGGCTGCACTGATGGGGAATGGTGAGGCAGCACTGATGAGTCTGTACTGATGGGCACTGGTGAGGCTGCACTGATGGACAATGGTGAGGCTGCACTAATTGGTAGTGATAAGTCTGCACTGATGGGAACTGATGAGGCTGTACTGATGGGCAATGGTGAGGCTGTACTGATGGGCGCTGGTGAGGCTGCACTGATGGGGAATGGTGAGGCAGCACTGATGAGGCTGTACTGATGGGCACTGGTGAGGCTGTACTGATGGGCAATGGTGAGGCTGCACTAATTGGTACTGATGAGGCTGCACTGATGGGAACTGATGAGGCTGTACTGATGGGCAATGGTGAGGCTGCACTAATTGGTACTGATGAGGCGGCACTGATGGGAACTGATGAGGCTGTACTGATGGGTACAGATGGGGCTGCACTGATGGGCAATCATGGGCACTGGTGAGGCAGCACTGATGGGCACTAGTGAAGCTTCACTAATGAGTCTGCACTGATGGGAACTGATGAGGCTATACTGATGATGGGAACTGATGAGGCTGCACTGATGGGCACTGGTGAGGCTGCACTGATGGGCACTCGTGAGGCTGCACTGATGAGCAATGATGGGCACTGAGGAGGCTGCATTGATGGGTACTGATAACCACTAATCAGGTGGCACTGATGGGCACTGATTTGAGGGGCAGTGATGAAAAAGGCACTTATGGGGCAGCACTGATAAGGTGGTACTGATGGGCACTGATGGACTTTTTTGGCACTGATGGGGCTGCACTGATGACCTATGCCGTGATTATCAGTGTAAACGTCCGCTGTTATAGGAAAGTCGGTCCATTCAGATGGCAGATTGATGTTAATCTCGGTTTCCACATTATATGTGTCATCATACCTCACAGTGACTATGGAGGAAGAGGAGGAGCATGAAGAGGAGGAGCATGAAGAGGAGGAGCATGAAGAGGAGGAGCATGAAGAGGAGGGGTATGAAGAGGAGGGGTATGAAGAGGAGGGGTATGAAGAGGAGGGGTATGAAGGGGGCGGGGTATGAGGGGATGGGTATGAAGGGGGCGGGTATGAGGGGGATGGGTATGAAGGGGGGGCGGGTATGAGGGGGATGGGTATGAAGGGGGCGGGCATGAAATGGATGGGTATGAAGGGGGCGGGCATGAAAGGGGGCGGGTATGAGGGGAATGGGTATAAAGGGGGCGGGTATGAAGGGGGCGGGTATGAGGGGGATGGGTATGAAGGGGGCGGGTAATGAGAGGGGGATGGGTATGAAGGGGGCGGGTATGAGGGGGATGGGTATGAAGGGGGCGGGTTATGACGGGGGA